ATGTTTCATGTGCTTTAATTGCTTATAAAGTTGATAACTATAAAACTGATAGCTATAAGACACTTCTGCACGCATTGCTCCCCAAGGCCATGGTGGACCAACCAGATTCTGTATGGACACCTGCACATCATGGCAAATTCACCAAAGCCTTGGAAAAATGCCTGAAGCATTACCAATGGTTGGCCAAAAATTGCTTCATGAATGGGATGTTTCGATATTCCCTGGCGCAGAAGTTCCATCTCACTGCACACATGCCCACCCTGTCCCAGTGGATGAATCCCAGAATGAGCCTTTGCTTGCAACAGAATAGGATTTTTTGTAGGGTTTTTTTGGCTATGCGCACTGTATCTGCCAGCATCAACATGCCTTAAGGACATGGTGTTATGGGGCAGAATCTTATCAGGGTGTCATGAAACACCTGGCATCCAGCTGTGTGTACAGCACCCCAGGGGAGAGGAGTAAAAAGCACATATGGTTCTTGCATACAGCTAGGGTTGGGCAGCCCAGGTTGTTTACATTTCTGATAGCTGTAGAGGGTTGGAGAGCCCTGGCAACCAAGCACTATCCCATAGGAAGCCTAGGCAATTGCCATCATGTCTGCAGCTGCTGCAGCTCCACTTCCAGTGCAGTAGCTAGACCTGTAGAACATGGCTGTGCATAGAAAGCCAGCCTCAAAGAGACCTGCTGCTGTTCAGAAGGCCCCACCATGCTTCCTGGTTTTGAATGCATGTTGACATCTAATTAACACTGTGCCAGGCCCAGTTGCAAAGAAAGCCTGCCACAATCTGGTCCTCAGGAGACACACCCAAGAAGCAGGACTGGATGTATGGGGGGGGGGTGTAGGCTGTAGCTTGGGTATGGAACATGTACTATGTCCATTGCATACCCAGGGGAAAAAAGCCACAGAAGAGAAATCTGCAAGGGACTTGGAGGCCATGAGGCATGAGGTCGTTTGTAATTTGAATTGCCCATGTTCCCTTGGGCAGGTTCCAGCCAGCCAAGCCTCCACCTTGATCATGGGGCAGCATCTCCAAGAAGAGAAGAAGGAGGAAGAAGAGAAGAAGGAGGAAGAAGAGAAGAAAGGGGAAAGGGTGGAAATGAATGATGAGGAAGTGAGGCTTGCCCTTAGGACCTGGCCACAAGAGCCAGATAGTGTGATGGAAGTTAGCCAGGACGCTGAAGAGAATGCTCCTGAAGGAATGCTGAATGTGTGGGATTTGCGTAAAGCTTACAACACTAGCTTTAGAACCTTCTTTCACCTAAAGAAGCATGTCGAGGCATCGAACTGCCTACACAGAGAAAGGCTATGGCAACTAGTATATGAATATACGCCGGGAGAAGAAGCACCGGCGGCTGCAGACAGACCGTCAATCATCGCACAGGTCGCTCTAGATCCAGGAGATGCAGCTCTGAATCCGGCATTCAGGGAACAACTTAGAGAAAGGTGCTGTCTCTGTTCTCAAAAACTAGCCATGAAGGGAGTCAAGCAGCATCTAAATAAGCAAAGCCCCAGTTTCATATGGGTTGGAAAGCCCCAGTTTCATGGGTTGGAAAGCCCTGTCAAGCATGTACACCATAATTGAAATTTGATGTCCTATTGATTTTTGCTTTGGTTTTCTATTGATTTTTAATTGTATTTTCTATTGGTTTTTAACGGGATTTTCTGTTGATTTTGAATGGAATTTCTATTGATTTTTCTATTGATTTTCAATCATTTTTCGATTGATTTTTATGAGCTCACTTCTATTGATTTTCCATCTGTTTTCTATTGATTTTACAGATTTACAATTCGATTGAAAATTCAACAAATCGATTGATGTTTAAACAAAATCCATTTTCGATTGATTTTTCAATCCCGATTGATTTTTTTCAATATCTGATGCTTTGGGTGACGTATCTTGCATCGCGCCGTCGCGCTCTGCGCCGTCCGTTGCCTTGACGTATTCCTGCGTCGCGCCATTGCGCTCTGCGTCGTCCAGGAGCTCATAAGCCGGCGTTAGCATGGCTCGGACGACCTCGACAACGCTTCACCTACTTGTTCCCTCTCAACGACTTACCGGCGCTTGATGAGCCCACGGGACGCCCGCACTTTGTCCAAGAGGTATTATTAGTCCTCGTCCGTGGCGTAGTCGTGGTCCGGAATCGTGCCAGGTCTCGTCGTGGGGCACCTCGTCACCTCGTCCTCGGAGCGCACATGCTCCGTTCGAATTTCTGCACTCTACTGCTCATTTCTGTAGCGCACCCCGCCGGCCTTCTGCTTGATTGCCGCCAGCTGCATCTCGATCCGGGCAATCCTTGGGCCAGGCCGTGCTTTTGCTTCCAGACTCCTGCGCAACATTTTGGAACGTGGCTTCCGGCTGGTGGTCTCGTCCTCCTTGACGCGGTCGCGACCACGCGGTCTGTTGGGCTGCTTTTCCCAACGTTGAGCTGCCGGCTCAAGGCATTGGCCTCGGGTCCGGCACTCTCGTGCTCGGCGCGCTTTCGCTTCTCTCACAGCCTACGTGGGGTGTTTCTGAGGAACAATGTGTACCCTGATCAGCTCGTTTCTGGTCTCGACCCAAAAGTCGCGACTCTGGTCCGCGTCGCCCCATCAAGGAAAGAAAGCTTGCCCCCCGCACGCCCAATCTCCAACCAACATGTTGTGATGTACCTTCTTGGGGAAAAAGACGCGTTCCAACCTGCACCACCATAAATGACATTCCCGCAGTCCGGTTCGGGGTCGGCAGTCTCGCGAAGCCTTCGAGAAAGCGTTTGGCCCTGTCACGCTTGAACATGTATACTGCCACGTGTCGCGCATGACGCCATGTATGCTCGCGCGGGATCCAAGTCACTTGCTGTCCTTCACACCTGCCATTTGGCGGGGGTGTGCTCGGATGGCCGGCGCTACCGATTTTGACTCTGAGGGCGCTAACGCCAAGCTTCGCCAGGTGAATCTCTTGCGTGCCCATATATTGTAATTCGCACCCAGCATGCTCAGCACGGGCCTGCTGAAAAGAAGCGGCAACTTGCACGGCACCACCGCCACATTGACGCAGCACCAACACTCTTGGGTGGCGAACCAGGCGTCGACAGAGAAGTCGGAACGATGGACCCCCACAGTTACCCGGCCACCGCCGCTGCACACGCACGATGCCAATCATGCTCGGGAAGGGAGTACCTCCGTTGCGAGGACGCTGCGCGCCAAGTGCTCCTCGTCGGGGTCGTCGCCGGGCACGAAGACCTGGTTGCAGACCTGGGCGCTCTGGACCTTGTTGCTGCCAGCGTCGCCAGCCTTGCCGCGTAGCGGGAACTCAGGGTCCTTGCGCCGATGTCCGCATCGTTTGTGCTTTGCCAGGCAGGCGTTCCTCGTTCTTCTTCTGGATCTCACTGGGGTCCTTGGCCGGTCCTGAAGCAGAGCAGCCTGCTGGAGCATCCGCACGCAAGCCTTCACCACTGGAGACAAGGTGCAGGTAATCTCCTGAAATCGAACGATCATCCGCCCGAAGTCCAGGTTAAAGTCCGTCACCGACTGGTCGGCTTTGCGCCGGCACGTCCTGAAGAGGTCGCCCACCATCTCGGACACCTTGAAGACGTCCATCTCCATGAAGCGGGCGCGGATCCAGTGGATGAAGATCAGTCGGCCCCATGATCGGAGCCCAGGATGTCGACATCCAACTCTTCTGCGCAAACCCAGGCTCGCGCCTTGAGGGTAGGATACAGCGCCAGTCCACGCTGATTGGGTGGCAGGTGGGTGCAGCGTAGGCAAACCTGAGCCCTCGGAGGATAAGAGCGTGCAGGGATCATCAGCTTTTCAGAGGTCCTTGTCTCTGGTCCGTGGTTCAGACTCGGCAGCCCGGCCCCTCCAGTCGTGATTGTTCCAGTCCCAGCAGCCTTCCCGCCGAAAGCCAGCATTGTCGGCGAGCAGGGGTCCGGGCCACCGTGGTTGACAGCCTTGCCCGCGCTCTCCAGAGGAAGTCGCCGAGGTGGTCTCTCCTGTTGGACCACCTCGAACATCCGTGTCTCCCGAGACACCATCTTCTGGCCACTCGTTTCGTCCTCGACGTCCACGATCATCACCTCCGGAAGGTTGGCCTGTCACTTTTCACTCAAACTCGAACCCCTGTGCCTGCGGATCCGAAGCAAGGTCTGAGGCGGTTATGCCCAGCATGACTGTGCGAGAAGCTGTGCTGTGCGCTGACGCCCTGAACGCCAAAAAATGCTGAAAACGCTACACCCCGAAACCCCAAACACCAAAAACTAAATCCTAAGAACCCTGATAGCCATAAAGACCTAGAAACCTAGAACCCCAGGAGCCCTAAAAACCCCCGAACTCGGAGAACCCTAAACCGTAACAAGCCTAAACCCCCACGAACCTCACTACTGGATCGTCCGCAGCGACTGCTTGCAGAAAACTAAAAGCCCCTAAACACCTAAGAACCCTAAGACCCTTGACCTCTAACAGCCCCCAAAACCCTTAAACCCTACAAACCCCAAAGCCCCAAACACCCCAAAAACTAGGAACCCTAAACCCAAAAACCCTCAACTCTAAAGCCTGACAACCCTAAACCGTAACAACCCTGAACACCCAAGCTAAACCCTGAAACCCTAAAGCCAAACAAACTAGACCTAGGTCCCCCTAGCAGCACTAAGAACCCTAAACCCTAAAGCCCTAAACACTAAAGCGCCCGAACCCTAAAAAACCCAAACAACCTTAAGCCCTAACAACCCTCAAAACCCAAATCCCTGTTTGTTCTCTCTTGTACCTGACTCTAGCTGCTGACTCTTGTTCCTGACTCCTGCCTGTGTATGACTCCCCCTGGCCCTGTTCTTGACTAATCCATTTCTGACTCAGGTCCCCTGCGCGTCACTCGACCAACATCCACAAAAAGGGGGCGGTGTCTGTGAACTGTAAGCATCTCATACCACAAAAACTCTTTTTGCTGTAGCACGAAGAGCTGCTTGCGATCTCAATCTCAAGCCCTTTGCAAGCCGGAGGAGCTCCGAGTCTCTCTTTGGGTCCGAGCGCCTTCGAGGGTCAGAGCAGCAACGCTCGACCAAGGCCATGGCAATGCTCATCTCCCAAGGCCTGAGATGAAAAAGGAGAGAAGGTGTAATTTGTGTTTTGTTATCGAGATAAACAGACACTTCTTACACATTTACATTGAGAGGTGGAGAGAGATGACTTAAGAGGTGACTTTAGAGTGGTTCGGATTGTTGGGGGGAGCTCTCGTGTCAAGGAGCGCCACTGGAGCCAGCTTTTGCTGAAAGCAGAGGGAGAGCACTGCCGTCAGCAGCCGGGTTGCCAGCTTTGGGATGGAAGCCTTGGACAGCTGCTTGGGTGCGAAGGTTACCCAGGCGACGCTGCGGCAGAAGATCGCACAGGAGACGCCGCAATCTCTTGTGGATTCCTCAGCACAGCTGGCCACTTGTAGCGCGCGCTGCGCCAGTGTAGCTTCATAGAAGTCGGAGGCCTCCGCAAAGCTCCGCAACTGCAAAGCTGAGCTGCCAAGACTAGGCTCAAAGGCTCGTACACTTACTGACTTCTTGCGGACTTCTTTGCTTCCGAGCTCCTCGCTGATGAGCTTCCCTACGAACTTCTGAGATGCCAGGCTGACCTCTGGGACAGTCCAGCGAACCGCACGAACTGCGCGCGTGCGGCTTCGCTGCATTCGCTGCATTCGCTGTGCAGCCGCTGCAGTCCGCATGGCCGCCAGCAGCGAGGCCTGCGTGGCCTGCGTGGCCTGCGTGGCCGGCGTTAGCTGCCTTGGCCGTAGCTGTGATAGCTTTGTCTTTGTGGACGTCGCCAGGCGCACCCAGCTGACGCTGCCTCGTGCCCGGTCAATCCATAGGGGCTTCGCCTCAGGGCCAGCGTTGCAGACTGCAGAAGCTTGCCTTCAATCTTAAAATCAGCCTAGCCATCCTAACCGTTGCTAACCTCTAGAATGCGAGAAACCCTGTCAGGTGGCTAAAATGCGAGGACGGCGCAGTCGCCAGGCATAGGCGCCCTCTCTGGCGAAGCTTTGCAATACCTCTGCAGCAAGGCAGTGCTTGGCGAAGTGGGTTTGCAGGTCTGGCAAAGTATGGAAGCGACAGCCGGCGATGTCACAGAGCCCCCAAACCATGCTCGTGCCACTGGCCACCAGCGCCACGGTGCCTTTTAGTCGGCAGGGCTTGGTACGAAGTTCCCATCTCTTCTTGCCACATAAGATCAAGCACAAGTATTCAGGCTTCACAGTCAGCGCCGACCCCACAGTCTCTGTGGCCATTTCAGATCACCGCTTCTGTCTGTCCCATGGGGTCCAAGGTACTACCGCTTGAGTAGTCGCTTGAGCCAGAGCTCAGAGACAGCTGGGTCCCAGCAGTGTGCTGAAGTGTCACCAAGCAGCCACCCACCAAGCAAATGACATATGATTTTTCTCCAGCAAGTTCAAACGCTGCATGTTCTTCCCGTGCGCACCTGCCTGCCTGCTTAAAAACGAGGCGCGTTCTGAGGCACGAATCAAGCGGACTCAGGCGCCCTGAGTGAGACGAAAAAGGCTGATATGAAAGGCAACATCTCAACGTTCTTAAACAGAAGCCTGACCTCCAGTGAATGCCACATGCATATGGCATAAGTAAAGAGCGTCATGCACAGGACAGGCTTTCGTGTGGAAGTCAAGGCTCGGCACTGTCGGCACCATCGGCATCACAGGCCATGCTCTGCCCCAGTTACTCACGGAAGTGGACTAAGAGTATGGTGGTGTCATCCACCAACTCGTCCCCCTCAGCACGCCGCACTGCCTTTTACAGAGGGATTTCAAGAGTTGCAGTCGCTCAATGAAGCATTGACATGATCAGTGCATCCGCTTTGGGCCTCCGTAAGGGCCTTGAGCGCGATACTGGGCATGCTCTGAAATTTGGCCACGATCCGTACAGCCTTCACAACGCCAAGCACAGCAAAGCACAGCAATTGAAGCAGTTTTTTTCATATTTTCTCTTTCCATCAGGCCTCTTCGTTGTCCACGGAATCCCAAAGGCCATCGGTCGCGATAATCAAGAACTTATCCTTAAAGCGCCGAGGTACCCAACGGCAACAGCAAAACAGCACAGCTTCTGCGTTGGGCCTGCCCCTGCAGCTTATGCTTGGTCACCTTGGGAAAGGTGAGTTTAGAAAAAGGCAGGAGCAGGCGGAGCAGGCGGAGCAGGTCAGCTTGGCCTGCGCTTGGCGCTTGCCTATTGCTTGCTTGAGCTTGCTTGGGTTGAGTCGCCACCGGTGCCGCAATCACCCCCAATGCCCGCGCAGCACCATCGCCCAAACTTCGGGACCTTGCTGAAGGCGACATGACATTCTTCGCACGGCGTTGCGCATGTTGCATTACTTGGGGAAGCGGGCACGGCTAGGCCCGGCTTCTCGCAGCACGGCCCGTCCCAGACCTCAAGGCTGCTTTAGGCTCCTTTAAGCTCTGAAGTCTTGACAAAGTCCAATTGATGTTCTGTCAGTCCCGCGCCCTGAAGGGTCCAGCCTGCCAGGAGGCTAAAAACCTCTCTCAAATTCTCTCAACCCATCCATCCTCATCCGCCTCTTCACCAGCAGTGTCGCGGTACTGACAAACGACGCCTCTCTCACAGAACGTGTTCTCCAAATGAAGAACACAACTTAAGCGACGACAACGTTGAACAGTGCTACTTTTTCAGCTCAAGCCCCGAAAACGGAAGAAGGCCTCCGCTCAGCTCTATGCGCTCGCGCTCCTTCCGTTAGGAACAGGATGGATGGGCATGAGGAGCAACCTGAGGAGGATTTCAGGTTTCGTGTACTCCTCGGGCATCTCCGGCTTCAGGTCGGTGGTCAGCGGCATTGCCTTCAGCTCTGAGCTATGCGAGCTCTGAGCGAGGCAAAGAGACAGGGCGATTGGATGAATGGCGTTTGCCTGCCAGGTGGAGCCCACAAGGCGACCCAGCACAGCCCGCGAGTCCCCGACCTGCAGTGAAAAAAAAAGCAAGGCCACAAGGCCACAAGGTAAGGCTGCATTTAGCTGCAGCTTAGCTGGCTTAACCTCGCATAGCTGCTTCACACGTTCATGGAAAGCCCCGCACGTTGGCAACGGTGAGCAGGTTCTGGCCTGCCATCACCGCAGCTGTCATGGGACAAGCCGGCAACATCCCCAGCCTCTGTCCAGAAGAACCACCACACCCGTAGAGCCACTGTACCTGACCAAGTTGCACACTCACTTCGGCCATTCGCTGTTTCTTTGAATGGCCGCTGCAGGGCACTCGACATCTGCTCCCATTTTGGCGTAAATGTCATCATCTGTGCTCCGGAAGGCATCCTTGCAAGAAGCTTGCCAAGGCTTGAAGCCTTGCGGGCCTTGCGATTGGGATGACTCTTACGCCTGTATAGGTTCAGCGCGCCTCCAGGGCCTTTGCTGGGTTCTGGGATGGATGCGTTTGCTGGCTACTCAAATGGCCTGGCCTGAGTCGAGGACAATCAAACCCAACATCTGCCAACAGATCTGCCAACACATGGTCACCAAAATGAGGACTGGGCATCCGCCTTGCGGCAGTCTCCGAGGCCTCCAAGCAGAGCTGGCGCAAAGTGAGGTTCGAAGGGAGCTTTTGGGCTTTTGCCTCGTGGCCCAGGCGGCCGTGGCCTCAGAGGTTCAACTTGAAAACCTTCTCATCTCACCTCTTTCCCCTGCAATTCCGCTGGGCTCTGTGCCATCGAAGACGCCCAAGAGAAAGAGCGGCCCGGAGTCTGCCTCACTCGAACCGCCGTCTCTTCGCGTCCATCTCTTCTTGATTTCTGTTGCCATCTCTTCTTTCCCTCTCGACCCAGCCGTGGAACCGTGGCACTGCAACCTGCAGGCAGCACGGCCAGCGCTGCATCCTCCAAAGAGACCAACAGAAGACAGCAAAAGAAAGCTTTCAGAACACACAGCCTTGCAGGGCATTGCTTTGGCCTGGCCTGGTTGATCCAGCCTTTCAACTCCTTGGCGTGGGAACAGACCTGTCTCGAAAGACGTCGAGAAGATGTGCATCTACTGCTCGCTTCCGAGCCTCCACCTGTATGCCACCTCGCTTTTCGGCTGGCAATTCAGCCTAAGACCAACTCACGCCGCCTCGCCGCCTCACCTTCTGTGTCCCTGCTTATGTTATATAGGGCCAAAACCCATTCTCGCGGTGCAGGCAGAGAGGTCAACGCCTGGCACCAGAACACGTTGTCCAGTCAAGGTGCTACAATTCAGCAGCGATGGGCTTTGTGTCATCCAGCAAACGAAGACCGTATTGCTTGTGCAAACATTCGCCTTCTGCAGTTCCAAGTGCTCTCAAGTTTTGGGCTTTCTGCAGCGGACCTTCTGCTAATGATCGTCTGTCATGAGCCGCGAAGCTTACACTCCCAAAGCAACCCTTATCTCGGAGCCCATGCTCCGCCAAGTAACGGATCATGAAGGGACGCCCCCAGAATCAACACAGATTAAGGGGCAATCAAGCAAGGCCAGGCATCGTGGAAGGATGACTTGGTCCCTTCAATCTGGGTGGTTTTTTGGGGGGAGGCCCTTGAACCCTTGATCCTGTGATAGCCCTACTGCGGTCCAGTGAGTCCTGAGCTGAAGCTGCACTTTTCGGGATGTGGCACGTTGGCACATTGTCACACACGGAAACCAACGGCAACACACACACACGCACACACATACACCTTACGCAGGTCTGCCGTTTGCAAGGCCAAAGCCGAAAAGCCCGCTTTCAGTTCCACTCCAGAAAGCACCACCACCAAAACTCCAAGACCATGGCCGTGCCACTGAAAACCCCAAATCTCGAACAGCCGATATTAAGGGGAGCAATGAGCAGCATCCGGCATCTTGATCTTGAATTGACCTGCGCACTTTTTTTGCAGCCTCAGGTGCCCTGTGCTGAAGTGCCCTGGAGGCCTACAGAGGACCACTGAGTCCTAGCTGTGACCTGGCTGCAAGCTGTGACCTTCGCTGGCGCCTTTCTTTCGCTGTAGGTCACAGCAGCGGTCTTGGTGTTGCCGCTCGGGTAGCCCAGGAATCGCGCGAAGCAACTGAGCTGTGTGTGAAGTGCACCGAGAAAGGTACACTCTCAACTCAAGAGGCTCTCAGCTTCGTCTCCCTCCCTTTTTGAAAGAGAAGAAGACGCACCAGCAACCCTTTCTCTCTCCCTTTTTTTTACACCAAAAAAAAGAAGACACTTCTTCTTCTTCCTCTTTTCTCTTTTTCCCTTCCCCCTTTCCCCCCTCCCTCTTCGGGGTTCCGGGCCCGTCCAGGCAGCTGGGCTCGGGCTCCGCGGGCTTCGGCTTCCGGAAGCTGGGCCGCCCGAAGAGGACGCTCGCGCGGTTCTCAGAAGAAAGAAAGACGACTTACTTTTAACACCATTCTTTTTTAAAGAGGTCTTTGAAGGCTCTTCCCCAAAACTCTTAGGTCCGAGCCAGCAGGTAGGTGGACGTTTCCTTCATCGCCCCCCTCTTCCTGACGCCGGCTTCGAGCCGGCTTGGGCCACCCTTCGAAAAACAGTATCCCCCCACTGCTTCATGCTGCTTCCTGCTTCTTCCATTTGCTACCTCATGCTGCACTACCTGGCGGCTCCCTTTCGCCGTTCGCCTTTGGCACGCAAGTCGTTGCAATTAATCCCACTCAGAGGGCTCGAGCAGGTCCAGCTTGCAAGACGGGCCTGCGTCAAATACAGCAAAGGCTGCAACTGTACATCTTATTGGAGAGCCTGCCGCGTAAGCCTTGCAAAATTAAAACCAAGGGGCAGGTGGTAGAACGCTCCAGCCACGGGTCCAGGCAGTGACTGTGGAAGGCCTGCACAACACGGATTTGATGCATTTAGCGACTAGCGCGAATATGTTCGCTCACAGGGCCGCGGCATGGAAGCAGCCCAGCCGCGTCACGCGGTCGCCCGGGCAGTATTCGCCCAGGCAAAGGGCGCACTCCGCACTCTGCGCATCCTCCCAGCCACTTGTGAGTCATTGTCACACAGCATGGCAACGCATACTGCGATGCATGGGCATGCGTGGGCATGGGCCTGTGACCACTCCGCTACTGGCAGTCGTGCGCGAAGTGCCTGCAATGCCGAGCTTAGGCTGAGCAGTGAAAGCGGGGTCACAAGGATGTCCTCCAGCAGGGACCGATGCCTAGCAGCTTAGCACCCAGCTCCCGTGTGCAGGAAAAAAACTTGAAGGGCGTGAGCTGAGCCCCTTTGCTGGATTTCCTCGATGTCGACAATCGGCTCCTAGCAAACACACGTCGAAGTAAAATCATGTGTAACAGTGCACCATGCGTTTTTGTGTCAACTTAAACAACAATTAGGCTCTTCTAGCTCGTCTTCTCAATGTCTCTCTGCGTCCCTCTCTCTCTCTTTCGTCTCTTCGTCTCCCGCAGGCCTCGATGATGTTTTGCGTCTCGGCTTGGACCTCTCACGATGTGCGCACAAGCCTTCTTCTCCTTTCCTCCTTTTCGTAGAGAAGCGGTGTGTTTGTGTTTTTTTGAGGCTTCCCCTTTTGGCTTTTCGTGAGACGGCCTCCGTCAGTGCCAGCATCATCGCCAGCAGCTCGTCCTCCATGAAACTGTGTCCAAAACCGCGTGCAGCAGCTTCTCGCACTCCTCAGCTTGCCGTTCCCGCTCGGCCCGCTCGCGGTCCCGCTGCTGGCGCTGCTGGCGCTCCTGCTGACGGAGCTCCTTGCAAGGTTTCCGGTCCAGATAACGGCCTTACTTCCCTGTCCTTGTCTTCGCCTGCTCCAGCACCGCCAAGGCAAGCTCCTCGTCCAGGTCGCACTGTGGAGTCTGCAACTGCACCTCTTTGTCCAAGTGCTCAGAACCCAAATGCGCCCAGTGCAATGTTTGCGCAGTATGCCTGGGGATTATCGCAACGAAAGCCGGGCTGCCCAGAAGCATGCGACCTCTGGGAGGGACCTTAAGCAACAGTGACGTTGCTTTGGCTTGGACTTGGATTCGGGGGCGCCGGGGGCCCTGCTGTGAAGAAAGCAATCCGCAGGAGCCGCTTTCGCCATCGAGCTTGAGGCCCTCGGGGCCTTCGGGGCCTTGGAGGGGTCAACATGGCCTTGGAATTCAAAAACACTGAACATACTGAACCACTGCAACAGCATGCAACAGCATGCAACAGCGACAGAAGCAAACTTAGCAGAAGAGCGGTTGCTGCTGCAGAGGCTGCTCCGTGAGCTGCTCTGTAAGTGGGTGCTCCGCCAGCTGGTTTCGGCTGCGTGGAGCCTCCTCCTCCGGGTCGCGGCATGCAAGGAAAGGACCACATCACAGAAATCGGCCCCTGCAACTCCTTCGGCCCGAGCGCTCCGAGCACTCCGAGCGCTCCGAGCGCTCCGATCAGCCCTGCAGCATGAAATGAGACAAACCGCGAAGGGGATTCAAATTTCTACGACTTAGGACACATGCTCAGGCCGCCTTGGGTCATTTGAGGTGCGAAGGGAAGCCTGGCCGCTTGCAATCAGCCTGCGGGAAAACTTCTGTTGGGGAGTGGGCATTCCCTTCGATGCTTCGCTGTGCTGGGCACCCAGAGCGACGGAGGCGCAGCGCCATGCTCGGTGAAACTCGTTTGGGCGTTCTTTGGCCAGGACGTCTGCCCTTATGTTACGAGGTTAAGCTCAGCTTCCTAGGTCTCCTTCATCTCATTTGCTGAGAACTACCTTATTACCTTGTGATGATCCGCCTCGCATCTTGCTCTGTTGCTTCAGAAGCCAACATCATGTAAGCAGGTATGATTCACATGTGGCCTCTTCAACTCAATCTTTGCTCCGTCATCAAGCCTATGCCCACCGAAAAGGAAACCTCCCCCTCTCCATCTCGATTGATGACGACCTTGATGCCTTCATCAGCGGTACCTGCTAATAAACCCTTCTAAAAAGAAGTTGCATCGAAGGTCATTTCAGAATCTACGTTTTCATTTTCGTAGGCGTTTGTCTTCAAAAAACGATTTCCAGTGAAGGATGCTTTTTCAGGCCAGTCAGTGATTGTTCCCCACGCAGGGGTTGCACAGCTCCTGGTTTTCCATGGATCATGCTTGCGCTCTGCTTCGCCTTGCTAATTCAGTTGAAGAGACAATGCGACAATAAGGGGCACAAGCCCTGGAATGCGGTCTAAGCGGTCTAAGGGGCACAAGCCCTGGAGCCCTGGAAAGCTGCAATCCAGAAAGGAGGTATGGCCAGGTATCTGGTAAGGGGTCATACCGCTTCATGCACGTGTACATGTTTCAACAAGCCCGCGCGTGGCTCAGGAATAGTGAGTGTCAGTGAACGCAGAGACTATCTCACTCTGTTTCCCACCATCCCGCAAAGCCTTGGCAGGCAACTTACCTTCGCTGGCTACAATGCTCCCAATGATACTCATGCGCGACCTCTTGGTATACAAAGCTCGTCATCCTATCCCCACTGCAGCTGCACAATTTCTACGGACGCAGAATGAAAAGCAAGCAGGCGCACCCACGTTTTACCGTTCTGCTCAAGAAGAAAAGCTTGCTTGCTGCACAGCCTGTTGTCAGCTATCGAGATTTTCCCTTCTCCAAGCTGTTCCGATGTGCTCCTTGTCTTACCCCCAGATTCAATAATCATGTACCCAGATTCTTTGGGCTTGAAACAATGCCCACCATGTTTCTCAGACTTCACCAAGGAGGCCAGAGGCCTGGGGCGTTTAGATCCAGATTCGGGTGGAGAGTAAGTTTACCCACCTGCCCCCACCCAACTCAATTTGAGTTGATTTGGCGATGTTTCTTGGTTTTTCGGGGGAAGGGGGTTCGGCTGGAAGAGGAAGTCTCAAATCCTCGGCCCTGTACTTTCCTTGTTGAAGCCCATTACTAAATCGGTTAGGACTGTGCAGGATATTTTTCGGAGTCTCTTTCAAAAATCCCTTCACACAAGCCCTCACTACATTGACTTTAAGAAATAGATACCTCAAGAATTTCGCCTCAAAGTTCAAAAGGAATGCTCAAATCCAATGGTCTTGTCATCCACCACAGCGTCTGAAACTTTTTTGTGCCAGAATCATAATCATGTCAATTCTACCAGTATTTCCTTGTCCTCAACATGAATCAAAATACTTGCAATATTCCAAGATTCCAAGGGTTCCCGAGAGATACTACAAGCGTTTCATATTTCAGGAGAAAGTCTCAAATCCTTGCCTGCATTCTCCTCATAAAAAACAACATTAGTACATTTGCACGATGACTGTCCGATTCTCTTACAAAAATCCCTTCACACAAGCCCTCACTGCATTGAATTTTTGCTTCGAAAAGAAAAAGAACTCTTCAATCCCTACGGTCTTCTTATTCACATATGAACCCCTTACTACATGTATTACAAATTCTAAGCAGGAATTCGTAAATCCTGGGCTTCTGTTTGCCCTATTTTCTATGTATCAATCCCATGTCAAACGTATTTCGAGCTTAAAGAAGAATTCGCAAGTCTGCGGCTTCTTCTTTTCTCTACACACATCCTGAATAAATGTGCTCAGATCTCAACAGCAGCTAGCGAGAGATCAGAACATAGCATCTATTGGAGACCACGGGAATATTATAGATAAGGGGCTTATATATATATATATCTATCTATATATATAAGAAGCCCAAGCCTTGCGCAGACAGATATACATACATTTACAGCGTTGATGAAAACCCATAACAATGATGAACAACTTGTCTCAGTGGTATTCTGAATGCAACTTCAACTGCGCAAGCGCGGCAAGCAAAAGGAGGATGCGAAACCTATAACCTCTTAGCTGCCCCCCCACCCCCGTCCATCACATCTCAAATGGTATTCTGAATACGAGCAGTTCAAGCAGTCGTGAACCGCGGAGCCCCGAAGAAGCCAAAAGAAAACTACAGCAAGCAAGACGCAGAAAGGAAGAAGCAAAATAGCAAGAAGACTGAAAGCAGCAGGGTGTAGTCAACCAGCAAGAGGCTAGAGGCAGCAAAGGAGAGGCACAAAGCAAAAAGCAGCAAGCAGGTCGTAGGCAGCAAGAAACCGGAAGCAAAGAACAGAAAGCAAACCGAGAAGCAAAAAGTAGAAAGCGAGAAGGAGAAGCGAGAACCAGAAAGCAGCAAACAAAAGCAAGCAGGAAGCAGAAAGCCAAGAAAATCAAAATCAGAAAAAGAGGGAAAGGATCAACGGCAGAGGCAGCCCACCAAAACAGGATCCTTCAACCTGGTGGGCTGCTGGGATTGTTGAAAGAAAGTGCGATAATCTACTGCTTGCAAGCTTTACTGCTGCATGCGTGCCCTGCAACTTTTTCTGCTCGAGAATCTAGCACAGCAAAGGCCAAGTGCAGAAGCAACGTGGAAACAGAGGTCTGCAGAGCGCGCCAGGTTGGCAAAGTGGTCCTATCACAATTAGCAAGAAAGAAGAGAGACAATACCTGCTAATCTGACAGTATGTTCCAAAGTCGCATGTCCAAATGGGTGAGCTGGCTGCAGCAGCACGGTGTAGTACACACAAGCGTAAGCCTAGCATTCTTCTAGACTGTTACACCCCTTCTCACACAGGAACCACAGGATCAAGCTCAGAACTTCCATCAAGCCAGTATCTGCAAAATCACGTGAGGCCGCTTCAGTTGCCTGAGCTGCAGCTTTGCGGGATCCTTCGGCTCAGCTCAGCTCGTCGAGCTGCCGCCGCCCATCACAACTGAGAAAGCCACTACGAAAGGAGGCCACACAAATCCGAAAACTCTTCCGCTTTCACTTCTGGGCAACCTGTCGCGGAAGAGCCGGCTTCGTGGCCTTCAGGACAGCCGGAGAAAGGATGAAGGCTGACCAAAGGCTGCCGTCTTCCACTCAGTTCCACTCAGTGGCTCCATGTGCTGCGCGGCTTTGGTTTGCGACATCCCCTACATCCCCATGCCTTCCCTTTGAGGCAACTGCGAAAGCAACTGTGGCTATCGCGGCTATGCATGCGCTTACAGGATCTTGAAAAGCCTACAGCCTGCAAAACCCTCTTTTTTTCGCGCTCTGATCTCAGTCCCGCTCGCGCCTGGGTTGGGAGCAGTGGGATCGGTGTGTGCAGAGGTGCCTGAAGTGCCTTACGGCACTCCTTATAAGGCGCGGGCTGTCTCCGGGACCGGGAGCGGCTCCGGCGCCGACGGTCCCGGGCCCTGCAAACTGCCGAGGTAATAAGCGCAGCATCATTCTGTCAAATCTAAGCCTTAGAACACCTCCTGCCTCTCCGGGCTCTCCCTTTTCTCACCGTTCTTTTCCTTAGCATTCCGCAGGTGACAGGGACTGGCTGACTGGCTCCAGCACCAGACGCGGCCTTCTCCTTCTCCTTCTCTCTCGCTCGCTCCATGTCCTGTGACTGCAAACTGCAAAGCAGAGCAAAAGCAAAAGGAAAAGCAAAAGCAAAAGCAAAAGCAAAGCATGAGCAGCGAAGGATGATGTGAAGGATGTGATTCGTGGGCGAGGCAAAGCAACGGCGAAGCAGCGCTTCAGGCCTGCTTCTCAGCAGGTGTAGGCCCGAGGGGCGAGTAGCTACGCGCCTGAGCTCTTCGAACAACGAAGGGCAATGCCAGGGCCTCACCCTAAAGCACAGGACCTCGTTTTGTGCCGAGGTACCGAAAACGTCCCTCGTTCGATCTCACGCAGCTTCAGCTGCACCGCTCCTGACGTGAAGTACGTCTCTCCCAAGGCTCCCCGACTCCCCTAACTCTGCCTTTTGGGTGCTTTGCAGCTCGCATGACATCGTTCAAGGTTCGCATATCCTCCTCCCAGGAAAGGATATGCGTGGCACATGCACAGCTTCATTTACAGCATCGCTTCTCCTTCCCACCATCGTTCAGTTAAAGCTCAGAAAACCCCAGCGGGAGGCCTTGAATGTTGTAGCGCGGTTCCGCATGGCGTTGGTGAGACGGTTCCGCACCCCGTCATCGAGCTTGAAGCGCGTGCAGGTGGCTTCGATCTGCCATTGGCGCAAGGGCTGCTGGGTATGCCGCTGGATCTGCAGGCCTCCTCATTCATCCAGGACTCTGAAAGAGGAGGCGCACCTTGGTGGGAAACTTTGAAGTGAAAGCATGACCTGAGTCTGGAGGATTTTGGGCATCCTCACCAGGCGCGGTCCGCTCGTTCCGCTCGTTCCGCTCGCTCCGCTCGTTCCGCTCGCTCCGCTCCGGCTTCGTGCCTTGCAGAGGCTGCAGAGGGCTAGCGAGGATTGTCGAAACCCCAACCAGGAAAGACTCGAAGCCTGCGCTTTTGGCATCACCTCAGACTCAGCGCGCAAAGTGGTCCTAAGAGTGTAACGTGGACAAAGGCCCTGGCCGGATACTACATCCTCCTTCTTCTCTCTCCGCTCCGGCGAAGGCGATTCCCTGAAGTTCGCAGATGTCAAAGCTCCCTTTTGGCAGTGCCCCGGCCTTCCGCCCTCCCGCCTGGTCAGGAACACAGATTGTAAAGATGCACAGACAGCACCGTAGCATCCCAAAGCTGCCCCGCGCTTTCCAGTCAGAAGGTACCGGAAATCTTCGTCGGTGCCTCGAAAGCAATGACAGGTCTGCGTGCTGCATCCTATAAGCGCGCAACCTTGAGTCACAGGCTTTTCTCGCTGACCTGCATTTGAGAACCAACCACAAACATGCATGAATTCTTGGAGGACTCTTGGAGGTTCTTCCATTTACACAGCACAACACACACAAGATCAAAGCGATTTTCACTCTGTGATCCATAGCCTTTTTGCACTTCACCGGGTCAAAGACTCACGCGATCCAAGCTGACGATCCCCTCGTGTATGGTCACCGTGCCCCCAATGAAAGCCACTGGAAGAAGAGTTGGTTGTGTAACACTGCGACGGCATCCACACTCATGTTAGCAATCCACAGGTTTTCAGGATCAGACGCTGACGTTTCTTTTGCGCTTCACACAAACCTTGGATGCATATGTTCAGGACGCCTTCCTTGTAGATGTCAGTGGGAAGATAACGATACGCAGTGTGTTGAAATTTCTTCGCTCCAGTGCATTCGAAAGCAATAATCTCAATAGGGAGCTAATAAGCCTTCGTTGACCCTCACATCAACTTGAAGCAGTTGATTCTCTAGCAGCTGTCCAAGGAGGTGAATCGGCTCAAGTCTTTGGCGAAGCAGCAAAGGAGGCTAGGATGGAATAGCCTGCGTTAGCCGTGAAACTTGTGGTGGTCGCAGGATTTGGGGTTGGATGGATTATCAAGGATTGCGTCGTGATGCGTCTACTTTCGTGGATGAATCGTGTTAATCCAGAAGCAGTCGAGTCGAATTTGAAGAACCTCAAGAACGTCCAGAACCTGAAGGAGAACCAACGTCGTCAGCCGGTTGTGTACTGGTCGGATGAAGCGCAAGATTTGATTGTGCGCGGGCCCTGAACGTAGGGGAACCTGGTTTTACGAATTCAGAAGAAGAATGTCAGGCAGCTCGTGAACAACGTGAAGTACCACGTGAAATACCTGTAATTACCGCCAACCACAGGAAGAACAACCCCGTGATTCGTGGAAGCTAGGACTCTGTTCGTGATCCCCTAAACGCTTGGTTAGCAAAACATGTACCCAGGCTGGGTCTTGTTGAAGGCTTTTTTGTCGACACGTATTGCAAGTCCCAACTCGCGGCAGTTACGTGTGACTGAAGCAACCGGCTCCCTACGCCGGTCACCTCGCAACACGCCGTCAACCAGCAGCGATTGATCCCAGTGATGCATTCGCGAAAAGCAAGAGGCATGTCGGAAAAACCATCTTGACTGGTGTGTGATCACGCTTGCCAGCTCCATACCGTTGCAGACGACGAGAACCAACCGAATACATAACATAGCCCCGAATGAGACCACTCGGGAGCATGCTTTGCGGTAGACAAACGTGGTCAATGCGCGATTTGACACCGACAACGTTCCCGAAGTAAGTGTGTCCAGGGGCGCACCAAGAGTTGACGGAACAACAATGTTGCTCCTCCAGCAAATTCCGGACTGCGACGCCGCTACTGTTTTCCTACGGGTACACTCACCAATGGGCAGGCGAATCAATTGCAACCGCTTGTGTTCTGCAGTGAGTGTCTGTGCACAGGTCTGAACAGCACCTTCTTAGAGGGACTTTGTGAGTCTAACGCAAGGACGTGCGTACCCAAGGCTGTTTTTGAGATCAAACAAGTGCGATGCTCCGCACACAGGTCATGAGCCCCAGCGCTTAGATTGAAGGCCTTAGCTTGATGATGGACCCTCTCAGACGTCGTAGAGCACGATCTGTTGGAGGTGACTTGTCTGGTGATAGCCATCATAGGCGTGAGGTAAGGGTGCAGGATCTCGAGCTCCATCCCATGTACTATGACTTCCCAAGCCCAGAGCGTGAAGATCAACCGGGTGGAAGGGATGATCCTCAGCCAGCCGACAGCCATACTCGTGATGATGAGGCGGGTCGCTTCTCAGTGGAGACTACTGGAGCGGAGATTCTTGGAGGAGCGGATGCGGCTCGACTACCGCAGCTGGTGGATCCTCGACACGTCCTTGAGGGTGGAGATGCAGCCGGTTCTGCAGCAGATATGGGTTCCGCAGGAATTGGACAGGCGGCAGAGGGCCTGGTCACCTCGACTCAGGCGCCTGACCTACCTCCGATTCCATGGTGACGTCCCTCCTGCACCGTTGAAGTCGAACTTCACCAGCTCAGCTTGAACGCAGAGTCAACCTTCAGAGAAGGGAGACCCTTCTTGGTGGATAGACCTCTGGCTTCGGCGGAACGCATCATGGCTGGCACTTTTAGCAGTGATGACAGTGAAACGGCCAGACGTCGGGCTGAGGAGGTTCGGAGGGTGATTCCTGGAGGGCTAATGGGGCCCCAAGGGATTTTGGAGCAGACTGGTGTGGGAGAAAGGTGGGCCTCTGGAACGCAGACAGGATTGCCCCAGTCTTCTTCGTATGAGAGGATGAATGGGGAGATCCCTCCTCCTCCTCCTTCAACCCTTGGGTACTTCTTGCCACCTGAGAACCAGATTCACGCCGGAGTGGCGGGAAGTGCTGGACGAGGAAGAGAAGGAGTTGACACGGCACTGGGTTCCACGACGGGGGCCTTGTTGACCGGGAGGCCATGCTTGAGTATGCTCTGTGCCTCCTGCACCGCCCCGGGGTCGACCTTGCCTATAGAGGGGCAATCTTTCACTACTCCGGGGTCGTGTATGCCGAACATGGGTCCCATGAGTGCACCGATAGGATCTTGCTTAGGAATGTCATCCTGTATGGGTTATGGCCTTAACGTTTTCAGGATCATGCCTGCCTATGTCAACTGGGATAGATGGAGTCATGGGCTGGGGTCTCTCTGGAACTGATAGAGATATGTGCTTGGCAGGTCTGGCGTCGGGAACACAGACAAGATTGCCGCAGACTTCTTCGAGTGGGGGCCTTTGGCAACAGAGCGGATCCAGGGTGTGGATTGTACGTGGAGGGGGTCCCTACAGCTGAGGGTCAGAGAGGCTTTGTCAACGTAGAGGGTCACCGGCTGTCTTGTGTTTGCTTTGGGGGTAAATTGGTTGTGGAGATGCAGGGGCCTCCACCGCCATCACCTCCTATGACCCCAAAGAGTATGCCAAGGGTGACCCTGTATGGCCTTCCCACTACTGCAAGTCGAACTCCTGGAGGCACTCCTGTACCAGCATCCCCACCGCACCGGACAATATTGAAGAACCTTCCAAATTAGTGAACAAGCTCCCCTGCCTGCCGCCTGTGAAGGGCACCACGGGCGGAGACGCGGCAGTGATGGCAGGCGACTGGTTGGCACAGCTGGCCCCATCCATGGCTACATTGTCTCCAGGCGCGGCTACTTGGTGGAGGGAGTTACTTCAGGGCGTGATGACTGCATATGCGGCATGGTTGGAGAGTTCCCCTATGGTGAGATTGAACCTTCGCCAAAAGGTTCTTGCTGATGTTCCTCCTTTGGATAGGTTCCAGAGTTGAGCAGCGAGCCGCTATGTTGCTTCTTGAGTGTCTGCCAGAGGCTCTGAAGGCGGAGGCGATATCCACCCGGGCTACGTCAGTCAAGGGTATGTTGTTTCTTACACTTTGCTGCTATCAACCGGGAGGAGCTGGGGAAAAGCATCATCTTCAGCAGTTTCTCACAACTCCTGAAGTAGCAACAAACTTGGATTCTGGAGTTACCTTGGCCCGAAAGTGGATACGTCTTTTTCGTAGGGGCAAAGAACTTCAAGTGATACTTCCTGATCCTCAGCTGCTTGTGCGAGGGCTAGATCGCTTGATTTCAAAGGTCCTGGCAGAGGGCAAGACGCAGTCGTCATCAACGTTTCGTATTGCTTCCTTTAAGCTGGAGCGTCAACTTGACGGCAATGTCAAGGGCAAGGGCAAGAGCAAGAGCAAATCCAAGGCCGGAGCCAAGCCGTGTTGGAAATGGACTGATGGTTCTGGGTGTCGCTTTGGGTTAGCTTGTAGCTTTGCACATGATCCTCTTGGACCGGGTCGATGTTGGGTCTGCGGAAGCTCCGAGCATATGAAGCCACAATGTCCACACAGGCAGACGACTACAGCTGGTGCTGAAGGGCACCAGGGGGGAGATCAGCCGGGTGGAGGAGGCGGACATGAAGAACCAAAACCAAAGAAGCAGCCCAAGCGGAAGCCAAAAAAGGAAGCAGCGCGCAAGGCGGAGGAAGAGAAGCCGGAGGGGCCGAAGCTGGCAGGAGAGCCTTTGTCCTCGTCTTCCCAGGGGACTGTGGCGCCTTCAGGAAATGTGTCGGCCTCGGCATCTTCCCAGCAGGAGTTCCTTCAGGAGGCCACCAAGGTTCTGAAGTCTATGAGGCTGGCAAAGTTGACCGGGGATGGCGAGGGCAAGTGCCTGGTGGATGGTGGAGCCACTACGTCGATGAGGAGGGCGAGCTCGGAGGATGAAGTTCGTGGACTTCCTTGTCGTACCGTGAAGTTGGCGGTTGGGGAAACTTTTTTCTATGTGAATGAGGCGGGCACCCTCTTGACGTTGGACAGCGTTGCTCCAATCTTGGCGATGGTCGACTTGA